AGATGAAAGAATTTGCAAATAACCCACATTGACGAAAAATAGACAATAATCAATTTAAGTCAATCGAGTATTGAAGTAGTGAAGTACTTTTCACATGCCATCATTCAAAGAAACCACAAGGAAATTTAGTTGTGGCCATCATTCAAAGTCTCTGACTCCAGAAAACCTCTCCGTACATATATAAATCTTAAACCGACAAATAATTTTCACAAGAACCAGATAGGACTCGAGAAACCATTTACCATGAAACTACTACAAAGTAGAACAAAAGAAAAAACCTATTCAAGAAAGACAGAGTGCAAAATTATAGTTTCCAGCCCTTTTACCGTGCAAAATTATAGTTTCCAGCAATAGAAGTTGAAAATTAGGTTCAAACAAATCTTACATGTGCCATCGTCGGCGTTGAGGTTGCCGGCCTAGGAGTTATCGGCTTCGGTTTTCTTGATGGGTTCAACATAAAATCGCTCACTTCCGACTGCGAAAGATGGAGATAACATCGTTTGGTTCATGTTCAACCTCTTGTCGATGCCGACGTCAAAGTTGTCGGCGCCGACGTCAAAGTTGTCGGCATCGTCAAACGGGTTTTGCCATGAATCCATTTCAGTTTTCGGTTGCCATTTCCAAGGTTCCGTGAAATGGCTGGAGAAACTCTGTAAGAAAGGTGCATTTTGTCTTGTCTTTTGTCCTTTTTGTTTTCCACTTTTTTGGTTTTCCACTTTTCTTACTAGACTTTTTTTTCCACGGTTGAGATATTGACTTTTTCAAACATTGGTGCCACGTCATCATGCTGAAGGAAATTATGTAGTATATTTTGTACATCTAGACTTCTCCTAATCCTAACGAAGAAAGGCAAATACAGGAGAAAAAGGATATCCAGATTCAAGAGTTGAGCCAAAAAATTGGATAAGTTGCAAAAGAGGCTCTCCACCACCCATTTGACATTTCCTCCAATACGCAATACAACAGAGACGGCATGCATGAATAATAATTCAGAAGAGGACCTTCATATGCACATTAATGCCACTTCAGTCCCTTAATTCAATGGCGACACTCCCAACACTTTCTACTACTTCAATCCCCAAGATTCTATCCAGAAAACCCGAATTATTTGAAACCCAAAATAGGGATTTTGTCGAGAAAATCCCACATTCATTTGCTTTGAGAATCGGTGTAGACTACTGCAAAATTAGGTCAACAAGATTGTATGCTGGGCTTTCCGAAATAGAGCCGGACTTGAATGAAGATCCAGTGGACAGGTGGAGGACCAATGGAATTGATTCTGTATGTTTTCTTTTTTGTGATTTTGTATGAATTCATGAGTTTATGTTTTCTTGAATTTGTATTATTTATGCACTTATGGGTGGTTCCGGATTTTGTTGTTGATGTTTGCAGGAAGATTTTAAGTATGGGAAGTATGATGACCATCATACTTACTATGAAGGTGATGATGAAAAAGGTATTGTTCATCCACAATTTTGTTTTCTAATACAATAATAACATGTGTAATATACGCCATTCGACGTTAATTGACTAAGGTTTAGTATTATAGCTCCACCTTGCTGGATGAGCTATAATTGTTTCTTGAGCATTTGAATCTAGATGAACTGTAAATCCTGAATGAAAATTAGGATACAATGAGAATACAAGACAGCAAGGGGGAAATGATTCAGATTGAGGACGACTTAGGTGATTCAGATGTGTTATGAGTAGACCTAAAGAGTCTTCCCTTTGTAAAAGTTAAACAAGCTTGGTAAATTTTGATGCTGATTAATGCCATTGGATTCCTAGATGCAGTGTTTAATATCGGAAACTTTAAATATTTCTATTTAGGTTGAAAATTTTATCCTGAATCAGAAGGGGCAAATTTCTCACCAAGAATTATACACGAAAAGATTCTTGGAAACAAGCGAAAATTTTGTTTCTCTAAGTATCATGTAATTGTGATTTTTTTGTTCCAAATGTGCTTTTTATGCTTCAAAATTTCTATTAATGTAGATGATAAAGACAATAAGCTAATCCTTGCAAAATTTATTTCCAATTCATGCTCTTTAATTTCCAACATCAAATATTGATATAGCGATTCTGTTTGTTATAAAACTTCCATTCCAGGGACATTTTGGGGATCAATTGCAGAAGATTATGCTGCAGTTGGACCTCCTACAGGATTCCAGGGTATCGAAATCATTGCTTAACTTCTGTTAAATTATCAAACCTGCATTTTTTGTCAACTAGATTATATGGTTTGTTTATCTCAGGTTTTATCTCGTGGCTATTCCTTCCATCTATTGCTGCAGGAATGTACTTCAATGTTCCGGTACACAAGAATTGATCTGCAAACTGTTAATTATGTGGAAATATTTATGTAATTTTAATGATTATTATACTCTCCAGACCTCGTTTGATTATTTTTCTAATAGTTTGATTGCTTAACTAGTGTAGAATTCATTCATTTTATGGTTAATATTAAACCTATAAATAGAGTTTTCTTCTCTGTAATGTGTAGACATAACAGATATTATGTTACATAATTCATTTCGATATTACTCTCTCACATTGTTTAAAGTTTCTTAACACAATTTCAGTGTTGCTAAAAGTTAACTAGCTCGTTTCATCTCTGTGCTTCTAGGGGGAATACTTGTACATTGGTGCAGCCATTTTTACTGTCATATTTTGCATAATTGAGATGGATAAGCCAAGTGAACCTCACAACTTCGAACCTCAGATTTACAATATGGAGAGAGGAGCTCGTGACAACTTGATAGCCGATTACAACACCATGGACATATGGGTATATGGAGAGAGGAGCTCGTGACAAATTGATAGCCGATTACAACACCATGGACATATGGGATTTCAATGAGAAGTACGGGGACCTTTGGGATTTCACTGTAAAGAAGGATGACATCATGAAGAGATAAATAAAATGAAATTTGATCGTGTTGGAGACCAAAAGGTATATACTATTGAACTATCCCATCTAAAAGCTTATGATGTTAAAGAGGAGACCCGAGTCCCATTCTAATACCCTCATTCATGATCCTTTCTACTGGTAGAACTACTACAAGCGGTCTACAATTTGATCCTTTTTTCTTTCTTCATATTTTAATGTGGAGCAAAGTCTTTTTATTGCTCCCACTATTGATACATCAAGGCCTTCATGCCATCTTTCAGTGATGTTGCGTTTTTTATATCGCAAGTGTACAATATCGTAACAAGTAATATAGTGGACTTTTGAGTCCGGATTGTCGATCCCACGAGGACTATACTTTCGTTCTCAATTTACTATTTCTAACTCATATTTGATGCAAATAAATGAAATTACGTATTTATTGAAACTGTTTAATTTAAAAACGTGAAATTAAATTAAATTGAAAACAAACACAATTAATTGAAATTCAAATAATATCGGTTTTAGGCGGAACAACTTCATCTATTGATCACTTTTATTCCTTAAATCAAGATTCATAACCTAATGTAGTGTTCGATCGAATTCTTCTATTGTATTCAATTTACCCCTCTCGAGTTCTCATTGAGCCTATTTAACTAGTTCAATTCCATATCTCTATGCAAATCAACTTTAGTCAAACGAAACATTGGTTCTAAGAATTCAATTATAACCGCAATAATTAACATATGTATCTCTACACATTATGTCAATTTACCGGATTTTATTATTTGGTCTAAACCCTAAACTCACCTCTCGACTCGTAAAGGATACACAAAATCATCTAATTAGTGATCAAGTAATTAAATGCATTAAGATCATAGTAAAAATCAATACGTAAAAATATAAAAACAAGAATCTCAAAATAATGAAATAAAGGATCCCAATTNCGAAATAGAAGATCCCAATTCGGCTACATTGTTCGCCCTAAAAATCATTTAGTTACGCATAATGTAAAAATAAAGTATGCAAAAGAGGAACGACATCACCAAAATTTGACCGAACGTGATTAATTGTGTTGTCAATTCTGCCTTATGCGTACTCCCGTTTCTTCCCTGTGTGAATATCTCAATCTCTGTTAATTCATCGGCCAACCGCCCACTCTTTTACTCCCTCCAATTTTGCTTTTCTCTTCCACCACTTATGATTCCAACAAAAATCTCTTCAATCCCCTCCAAGTTGGCAAAGGATGGGCACTTTTCTTTTATTTCCACTGCGGAAAGTACAATTATTGAATACCTATTGTAGTGCGAATTACGCTCAGAGTCATAATTCATAAATGATTTTGAAAACTTGTTACACTACCATAAATGTACAAATCAACATTAGTCCACCTATTCTAATCACCCAATAATGCATCAGTCAAAATGTTGACCGTTGACCACTTCCCTCGCTTTGACACACTCCCAATTTTTGTTAAATATGATCTCATCTCAACTAAGAGCTTGTTTGGTAGGAATTTTTTGGGGAAGAATTGATTTTTGAATAGTGATATGATGGGAAATGTGTGGTTGAAAAAGAAGAAAAAATTATTGATGTGATGGAAAATATTATTTTATTGAAGAATGTGTGGTTGAAAATGAGAATTGATTTACTGTAGAATCAAAAATCCCTAACAAACACCCCCTAAATGTGCTCTCTACACAAATCATTATACAATCTCTCTTAATAATACATAAATAAATGACATTCACAAACTTGCTGCATTCTCATCCAAATATAATTGACAATATAAAGCAATCTGATTACAAAGATTTATCGAGTTTTCAACACGTCCAATCATCAACACAAGAGCTATATCACCATCCAGAAGATCATCAAATTATAGAACTATTAAAAATAAGACACTCCTAGCACTCCCTCGACTACCAACCACAACGTAGTTAGAGAAGAATCTGTGTACCCTTTCAACATTTCTAGGTCAGCTGTGTAATTTAGACTATACTCTTCCAAAGCTTACAAAAGATATCTATACAATTACTACCATATAATCAGTCAGCACTCAGCAGGAATCAGCATAAAGTTGTTCTTCACCTTACAGCGCAGCTGTCACAGTTCAAGCATTATTAGCACATTGAAAAATGGGGATTCCGTAATCAGACTCACTATCATCTTCGTCCTGTTAAACAACAGAGGGTAAAACGAAAGGTTATATGAAAAGAACCATTTTTCTGTTGAATCAAAATGGAACCCCTTAAATAGGTAGAATTTGGTAAAATATCTTCGAGTAAACATATACCTCTTCAGTTGGGATCATAGAATTGTGTCGGAATGTCTTGGAAATATCACGCATGGTCCCCTGCAGAGTCATGTGACTTCAAGAATTAGAAAGAGAAAACAGTACAGTGTGTGCTAAAGCATGTTGAGGTTCAAGAATTTTATATACAAACTACCAGGACATATGAAAGAGTACTGTACTAATGTCGGTGGATACTGATTGTGCCTGACATGAATTCATCACAAGGATGAGTAAATGGCAATATTCATCATAGCAAGAAAAGAAAGGTTTTGAAACAGCTTTTTCCTTCTCAGGAATCAGAGATTCAGAATGATAGCATAACTACAACTGTGGGAGGGAAGAAGGCGGCAGAGAAGAGAGTAACCTTGTTTACCCAAAACAGCCCACATGCATTGCAAAGGGTTCTCGGACCAGCCGGCCCTCGCCGCATCATTGGAGTAGTCTTTGAACTGGTGCCACAGTGAGTGCACCTGACACAGGAGACACGTAGGGTCACCAAAGAATTTCTAATAGACTTAGCTATGAATAGGCAAGATCATAGAGGCAGGTAAAAAATGGAAAGCATCCCCTCGTAGCTTAGCAACGTTACAGAAGGGCAAAGTCTAAACTAAACTCGACCAACATCAATCCATAACAAGTAACGTTTGAATAGCAAAATAATTTGATGTATGCAAAAGTGAAGCAGATTGTGCCACATAGAAATAACAAAGGGTATCTGTGAAACAGAACGAGAACTAGAATACTCACAGAGTATCTTGTTCTTTTTCCTCCTTTCCAGATTCCTGTGTGGCATCCATACTAATAGATTCCTCAGAATGTCTTGAAGTAAATTGACCCTTCCTGCGCTGCATCCTGAAACATATATACACGTCAAAACAGTAACAACCAATAAGTTATACCGGAACACATCAGCAAAATGTGTACAAACTCAACATCAGAAAAAATTAATGAAATTCTCCTGCCCGCTAACATAAAGAGAGAAAAGTGTACGAACAAATCTAACTTTTGTTAAGCTCCAAAATAAATGCAAATTTTTTTGAATATTTGCAACATCAAAAAGAATGAAAAAAACAAAAAACTCTCTCATCCCCTACTGAGTCACAGCCTCCCTCATATCTATTACCTTGTGCCTTTCAATTCTCACACTCTTAAGGATGTCTGAAGCATCCTTTAAGCCAAAAAAAAGTTGTTGAGAAGCAAAAGTATACCCTTCACAAACGCATGTATCTGAAAGGACGACATGATAAGATTACCTCAGTTGCCATTCTTCTAACTAGGCTGCTACTTACATATCTGATTGGGCGGGATCTATTGCATGTGTCATGGGATGGAAAGAAGGAATAAGAAGATGATTAAGCATCACTGATGCTAAACAAGGACACAGGAAGTCATCATTGGGCTGTATACTCCTTTCCTAAAAACTTAAAGTAGCTAAATTGTCTGGACGTGAATCTTTAAGAACTATACCACTCAATCAGAGATTCAACCAGTAGATCAATCACAATGAACTCTTGATTGCTTCCAAAATTTATATTGAGCTTGTTTGGGAGGAATTAAAATCCAATTAAAATTGAAAATATAGTCGTTATTGAGTCCCACTCGTCTAATAAAAGTCAACAATAACATTTCTAATTTTTCAATTTTAATCTGATTTTAATCTTTCTCAAACAAGCTCATTATTTATTATGACAAACATGACAAGAGAAGTCGCTAATGTTCTTTCTAAATTTTTATTACTAAAATGTACAATGAAGCATTCCCAATTAGCCTTTTTATTAAGCCCCTGTTTGGGATCCATTCTTCAAAAATACACTTTTTCAAAACTCATTTTCAAACTCACATTCTCACATAAAATAATATTACAGGTAAACCCAAAAATTTATCTTATTTTTTAACCATACATTCCCAAAAAAATCACTATTCCAAAAGACAATTTTTCCAAATTTAATTTTAATGGAGCCCAAACAGGGGCTAACTAAGTTCACTCAAATTCAACAAAATGAAACTACAACCCCCGACCAAAATCAACCAGAAGCCGATGACCAATGTACCCAACCGACCAACATCAACCAGCCGTGAAATTCAAAACAATGAAAAGATAAATTCCAATGAAAATTTTGAGGCAATAAACTACAATCTCACATGTGATACAATGATGAGTTAAAAAGAGATTATAAAAAATATGTCAATAAATCATCATGGAAGAAATTATTGCATGTTGCCAAATAACCATTATCCTATCCTGTTACATGGCAAACATGAGGGCTGATAAAGATGCAGATGGAAAATAAAGAAAAAAATGGCAAAGACACCATTTAAAAAGAGTAAATCATACAAAAAGGGACAAATTTCGGAAACGGAAAACTTGGTTCAGGAGAAAAATTTAATGTTTGTTAAATTTGATCTGATTTATTTTCTTTCCATGTTTATTAGGTTAACTCGGGAAGTTTATACTTCAATTTTTTACTTTTCTATTAGACCTTTCAAAAATACCATGCTGCATCAGAAATTTTTTGTAGTTGATTGAGGATGAGGGGTAGGTATATACTTTGTTATAAATCATATAGAATTCTGTCCTACAGGAGAAATTGTCATTACAAAATCCCAAGCATAAATTAAGTCTCAAACAGATGCAATACTCCAAACAATGAGTTTCAGACATTATGTAAGACATCCACCTTAAATAACAAAATAAATTTATCTCTATAAAAAAGCCTTGGCCATTTCAATTTTGTAAACATAGACATGCATATAAAATATACTCTGTCCAAGCATTAGATGACTTATTCTTGTTTTTGCCGAGACATATTTTTTGAATAATAATAAATGGCAATTGCAAGAGAGCAATACCTGAATGCAACTTCTTGCCGGACATTATATCTAATTTTCTTCTCAAAGCACCTCTTTTTCCTCTTTTGACGAAACCTATTCAAAGACTCTGCCCTCTTTGGATCGCTGCACCATGGGGTACCCATCGAAGCCTAGCGTATATATGATATAAGCAGCAGTCAATTACGCGGTTAAGGTAATAAATACGCTCGAAGAACAAATCTCAGTGTAAAGATAAACAAAATACCCCCCGTCTTTGATCTGCAGTATCGACACCTAAAATGCCAGGATCCAATTCACATCCACCCAAAAGTAAAAGCACCGCTTGGACCTGTGATATTTATGATTATCAAAATTCATAAGTAACTGCACTTTGTGCGTGGGTGCCCGAAGAGTAAAAGAACTTGAAATTAAAACATTCCGTACTAAGTGCAGATTTATTGTGTGCATTTACCCCCCTTCAATTTGCTACTTTTTCCTAGTAAAAAGGTCATGCCGGCAAACTCAAATATTAGTTTCAATCGGGATTATTCGATCAAATTTTACTATTTCTTAAGGTTTTAAAACGTTTAATTCAAGGAAAAGAAGGAAGTCAGTCTTTTACTGTTTACAATGGATTGTCAAGTATAGTTCTTTTTTTTTTCCTTTAATTTGACAATGCAGGGTGGCACATTATCTACTGCAGTTCCAGAAACGTCGAATATCGCCAAGAAAAGCGATAAACTAAACAGAATAAATGATTCCCCCCATTTCCTCGGAAACAACGAATACCACTAGAAAAAAATGCTCGAAAATAATAAGAGGATCGTTTAGCAATAATAATTTAACCTTATCAGCGGTAACACCATCGAACACAAACACCCGGCCGCGGAACGAGAGAGCAACCTGATCATTACCGTCGGCGGCACATGGAACATTCACGTTGGGGCGTTCACCGCCGATGCTTCCGTCGGTTGGGACTTCGACGGTGGCCAAGCCGCCTACACCGCCGTCTTGAAGAGACTGAACATCATAACCATTAGCCAAGTTCTCGACCAATCTTTTATTTCCGGCGGCCGATAGGCTCTGTATCGGCGAGTTTAATGACTGATTTTGAGCGTACATTGCTGGCTTCGGGATTGACAGAGTACCAATGGCGCTTGAAGCTTGGGAGAGAGAAAGGCACTCAGTCCTCAGAGCATGTTAAACGCATGGGTTCAGTCATCAGTGTCTAGTCTAAAAGGTTTTTGACAAATTTTGAAAGATTATTCTATTTTTGAGATATTCGGTAAAAAACCTTTACTTATATAGAAAATGAGTAAATTTCACAAAATATTGAAATTCTATATTAAAAAAAATTCAAATTAGTTATTTGACTTTGTCAATTTGGTGGGGATTAAAATCAAAACTTTAATAAAAATTGATGAAATATGTAATTAAAAAGTTTTGGATCACATAAAAAATGTGTAGTTAAAATTAATTATTAACTTTAATTTAAATTAAAATCTGAATTTTAATTTCTGCGAAATATGTACTTTTATTAAACATTCACATCAAACTGTTAAAGTAATATGTTCCTTCCACCTGACCTCCTGTTTTAGATTTGCTTCCATGATTTTTTTATTTTTATTTTTAATTAACGATGAAATATTAAGTCCCTATTTAGTATGGATTAAAAAACTAGATTTTAATTTAAGTCAAAATCAATAATTTATTTCAGTCGCATATTTTATATGTTCCACAACTTTTCAATCACATATTTCATTAACTTCTATCAAAATTTATTAAAAATTTAATTTTAATCTCCATTAAACATTGTCTAAATTAGGACTGATGAGTGATTTATGACTTTTTGGTTGAAAGCGATATTTTTCACTATGAATCATATTTTATTATTTAAAACATATAATTTCATGACAAGACTCAATAATAACAAGTAGATGTCAAGATTTAATAGATCGATGTTGAATTTGGAGTGAATACCGCTAAAGTAGAGCGAGTATGTAATATTATTAAACTTTAACGACAATTTAGGTCACGGAAATAACTTGTCATTTTACTATTTAATTTTTTTTAAAGAAAACTGATATCTCCTATTGAGTTCGAGTATATTAGGTTGAAACCACGGGATTAGGGGTCCAATGCCTCTTAAGCCACGTTGTAGTTGGGCTGGATCCTCAGTACATTCTTGTAGTGGTAATTACGTAAAATCAGGTGTTTAGTTTGATATTTTTAAAAATCAGGGTTACACTTTATTTAATCAAAAATTAAGTTTTAATTTCACAATTAATAATGATATTTTAAATTAAATTAATCTATATATTCACCCCCACCCTCAAATTAAATCTAATACAAACCCTAAATGTATTTCAACATTTCCTCGCTCCACTCTCTCACCTCCCATTCTCCCTCCCCCCTCCGTTCTCGCAGCAGCGCCTTGACGCTGCTGCGTTCACAACAACGTCGCGACACCGACAGTAACGTCGCGACTTGCTGTGGGTATTTGTTGCAGCAACTACTGTAATGGAAGCAGAAAGGACATTGGCCATAGAACTTACAGCAGAAAGTAATGGGTTAATCACATGAACACTGGTTGAATCTGGAGTTATACAGTTGACTGACTCCCCATATTCTCCATTATCTGCTATCAAACCTTCATTTAAGAGTGTGTTTGGTAGAGATTAAAATTGGATTAAAATTGAAAAATCAGCATTCATTGTTGACTTTTATTAGACAGGTGGGACCCAATAACGGCTATATTTTCAATTTTAATTGGATTTTTAGTGTTACCAAATAAGCTGTAAGTCAAATTTTATCTTTGTCTCAGGTTTTGAAGGTGCAGCAAAAGAAGAAAAAGAAGCACTTTCCTCAATTTCATCTGATTCAACACTAGGGAGCTTGGATTCTTTCAACACGGTATTTTTCTGAGCTTCTTCGGAATAAATAGCAGGTGAAAAGGTAAATTAATTTGAGAGTGCTTTGCATTCTATTTTTTGAGACCTTATGATTTCTCTCTTACCATGGTACGGGCTATTTCTATTGTTGGAATGGATGATTCTTTTCCTTTTGGTGTATTGTTAATATTGTTGTGGCGATAGTTGAGGTGGGGTTGACGGCGGTGATTGTGGTTTTCTTGGTGTGGTGGTGTAGGCGGCAATGGGATGGTTGTTTTTTTATTATTATTATTATGGCGGTGTTTGTGGTGGTGGTGTGACAAGGGCGACGATGTTGGTGGTGTTGTGCAGGCGATGACGGCGGTGATTTTTGTTTGTGTTATTGTTGGTGATTATGCTTGGGAATGAAGTTGTGTTGCCGCAGATCTGGGGATGTGTAATGTCGCAGTTCCGGGGATGTGTGGTTGTGGAGGTGGTGGATCTGTGTTGGCGGTCGCGTGGTGGTAATGGCGATCCGTGTGGTGGTCGTCGTTTTTTGTTATTGTTGTGGCAGGGTCAATGGCGGTGATTGTTCTTTTTGGTGTCTGTGACCCAGCATTGAATTGTGACTTTAAAATTGATAATTTGTAACTAAAAAAAAAAAGAATCTGTGACCAACAAATTTGAAAATATGTGACTTGTGACATATAATTTTTTTTGATAACCTATAAAATTTTAGATTTGTGATCTCGAAATAATCCGTGATCTACAAAATTTTTGATCTGTGACCAATAAAATAATTTGCGACGTATAAAATTTTAGGCCTTGTTTGACACCTATTTTTATCTAATTCTCATTCTCATTTTTTCTCTCTTTTCATTTCAACCACATATTCTTCCAATAAAATAATATTACACACAAATCTAAAACTTTTCATAACTTTTCCACCACATAATCTCCTATCAATCACTATTCTAAAAATTTCATTCTCCAAAAAATTGGTTTCAAACACCCTCTTAGATTTGTGAATTCGAAATAATCCGTTACCTACAAAATTTTTGATCTGTGACCAATAAAAAATTATGTGACCTAAAAAATTTAGATTTGTGATCTCGAAATAATCATTGACCTACAAAATTTTTGATCTGTGACCGGAGAACAGTCGTCGGAGTAGTCGCCGGTCACCGAAGTAGTTGCCGGAGCAATAGGGAAAGGGGAAGTAGGGGTGGTTTGGGGTGAAGTGGATTAATTATATTATATTACAGTTTAATATTTAATTTAATACAATAATTATGAAATATAATTAACTAATTAATGGAAAACTTGATATTTGCAATTTTAAAATTTGGGGCCTCAATTTTTATTTCATGATAAATAATACCCAATCCATGAATTTTTCCCATTCTCATAAACTTTGTTGGCCTCTTCTTTAAGCCCTTTCTTTTTGTAACACTCTGCAAGTAAACAAAACGCCTTGGCATTAACTCGAGGGAAAAATACGTGATTATCATCATTCTAGAATATTCTTTCAAATTTGAGAAACTTGTGAAATCCTTTCAAAAATAAAGTGGTTACTCACTTGGTCACAAATATGACTACCTAATGAAATTTTGAGATTTATTAATTAATTAAATATATCAAGATCACAAAAAACAAATAATTTGTAGTTACATTAACAAATTGCACAATGTCACGATCACAAAAACACAATTGTGTGTCACAACTACAAATTTATTCTCAAATTACACTTTTTTTTATGTCACATTATTTATTGGTCACAATTACCTATTTTATTGATCTCAATTACTGAAATAATTGGTCACATATTCTCTTTGTCCAATTCCAATACTCCACAGTCCACAATTGATAATTGATAAAATTTTGTGACTTATTAATTAATTAAACATGTCGATATCGCAAAAACAAATAATTTATGGTTACAGTAACAAATCGCACAATGTTACAGTCACAACTGGTAACAATTACAAATTTATTCGCAAATCACACATTTTTTATGTCACGTTAATTATTGGTCAATTAAACACGTCGAGGTCACGATAACAAATAATTTATGGTTACAATAACAAATCGCACAATGTCACATGGGCATGAGCATCAGGTGGGTCGGTTCAGATAAATCAATACTCGAAACCATCCATTATTTTTTGAATATTTCATAAATGGAACCATTTTGGTTCTTGTAAATACTGAAACCAAACCTAAACCTGAAACCATCGGTTTCGATTTCGATTCTACCCAAATATATATATATATATATATAAAATAAAGATTTTCATATAAGCTATTTTAGCATACATAGCTAACTTGCTACTATTGGAGAATATTTGTGCAAGGGAGAAAGTCCAACTTAAAAATCTTCAAGAAGCAAAAATAAACGTTGAACTTTTTGATTCATAAAAGGCCCAAATTATAAAGATTAACATGTACTAACCTCCGAAATGCAATAATGTGATGTGAGACAAGATGTAAAAAAGTAGAAGCCATTCTTAATTTCTTATTGTTAAAGTCTAGAGTTTTAGACTAATTACTACCCAAATTAGGATTTTTAGGTTTTATATGTTTTTTTTACCTGGCCTATAAATTGTAAATAAAAAATTATATAAAAATTGATTCCATTCATATACCCACGGTAACCAGGAAGCAAGAACCGAACTGAACACACTCGGTTATCGACTCCGATTCGATTTCAGTTCGATAGATTCAGTTTCGTCTAAAAAGTCCATGTTAAATGCCACAGTCACAAAGACACAATTGTGTATCACAATTACAAATTTATTTGCAAATCACACATTATTTATTAGTCACAGTAACCCATTTTATTGATCACAATTATTCAAATAATTAGCCACAAATTCTCTTAATCCCACCCTATTACTCCACAACCATTGACACTACTCAAATATACCCACACAAATTTATACTCAAACGTCGCTACTACCTCACATGTACCACCACAACAAGTACCATCGCACCGCCACCATCACCTCATTAATTACACAATCATCACCATCAGTAGTACCACCATCACCGAATTGATATGTAATAGATACACTACCGAGTACCGACACTAGTCACCACCCTCGTCACTCTATTTCCTTCCTTATCTGTGTAATTGCCATCGTACCGCTACCAATAAGGTCAGAGGCTTCAGCTATTGGGGTGGTCATAGTTGCCTCCTCTACAAGCAAATAAGTGGCTTCAAGCAGATTTGTTGGTCGTATCTACTTTTCCCAAATCAAGTTCTCGCTGTCGTCGAAGGTTCCGATGAGATGGACTTCAAAGGTTGGGCTAACAATTACGCAACACCGATCGCGGAGGGGTTGTTGGGCCGGAAAGGGAGAAGGTTGTTGGTGGCTGGCATTTTTTGGGAATGAAGTATTTTTGTCTCTTTTTTGAAGGGAGTGGGGTGGGTGGACTACACCTAATTTTTGTTAATACCTTATTGTTGAAATTGAAGCCTAAATTGTAGAGATTGATGTAATTTCTCTCTTAATCCTAATAACATTTCTAAGCCTCACCGATTCAAACGGGTCCTCAACAACCAAATCTACTTGTCCGTGTTAACTCATCAAAAGCTTCAACTCAGCTCTTTTGTACAAAGCATCCCTCAGAGAGAGCGCGACATCGAGCGAGTCAATAGCAGAAGTCTTGAATCCCTAGAGCTCTAGAGCCAAGGCCTTAAGAATGTGAGTTGACACTTCCTTTGTATTGAGATGGATTGCCTTTTCGACTTTGGATTCAGCTTCGAAGAAGTGTAGCCACAAATGAAGTGGCGCTTGGCTTGTAGACTGGCTCGATGAGTGAGGAGACGAAGCATGGTGAAGAGCTTCTGGGGGATGTTTTGTATGATCAAAAACATTAAAATCATGACTAGAATTATACTCGTTTGTTAAAAATAGATCACTCCACATATTTTTCTTTTGTGGATGTATGTATGTATATTTTGTAATCGAGACACTTATTTGAGGCACGTAATACTATTTAATGGAGCTGCCGCAGCTTACCAAATAAGAGATAATTAAATCATTTCTCATCAACATTTATTCAGTTGCTCATCCAACTAAAAAGGATTACTCGTTGCTTACTCATCTTTCCAATCGTTTACCCATCCATCACTCATTTCAAATCCTTTACCCACAATTAATGGAAATGGCCATGCACAACGGAAACTGATTTGGCATATTTTGTCCGTTAATTTGTCCACTAGTCTTGAACACGCTTGCTTTCTTGAACTCTTAAAATCAAAATCCCCAAACTGTAAACACAAAATCCTCCAAAATTGAAATTCCCAATTGTGCAAAGATAAGCCTTAATTTAGAAGAAGACAATGACGAGGAGGAGGAGGAGGAGGACGAAGAAGAAGAAGAAGAAGAAGAAGAAGAAGAAAATTTTATAGCATTCGAGATTTGCAGTTTATGAATAGCAACGGGGAAGTAGAGACAGTCAAGTTAAGGAATCCTATGGAGGAACCCCATTGAAATGACTCTGCATCGCAATGTCCAGTTTGCTGAGGAATTGACTTCCATACTTTTTCCCTATTGCTCTTCGCCTCTTCCCTGCTTCAAAATTTAGGGTCATTGCCCTTGTCATGATAGTCGATGTGGGGAATTAGCCATTCCAGTCCATCAAACAAACATAATTCAGCACTTGAGTTTAAAAAATTGTATGCATATATGGTTATAAACTTTAAATTGTTAGATAGAAAACGATGTGATCAAGAGTAACCACAACCATAGCAAAATAAGCCTTATTTTCTTAATTGAAACTTTGAAGTTGTTGATTAAAATGTCAATACAGATTTGACCGTGGCAAGAATGAAGATCGATAGTGGTGTTGATTAAAACCAGGAAAGTGATAAATTGAAATTACATTAAACTAGTTCTTCTTGTTCTTAGCATCGTTCCCTTCCTTTTCAAGTGCAACTACCACTTTCATTAAGATGACTTTGTTAAGAGTTGAGATTTCATCTTAAAATATCAACCTTATTAAGAGGAGTAGTCCAAACTCTTATAAATTGGTCTATGTTTTTATCTTTATTCGATGTGAAATTTTATCCCTTAACATGCCCCAACAAAATGGTGGCTCGTTTTGAGCAGACAAATCCTGAAATCCGTGTGCTCTATTTTTTGAATCTTAATCTGATCGAATTACTCGTTGGAACTTAATGGACTTTGATACCACATTAAGAATAGTGGTTCCATCTTAAAATGTCGACCTTATTAAGATGAGTATTCAAAACTCTTATAAATTGGTTCAGGTTTTCATCTTTATTTGATGTGAGATTTTATCCCTTAACAGACTTTAGTTGGCTGGTGAGAATTCTTTATAGCCTTTGATATTGCTTGCCATTTTTCACCATGCTTTGGTTCTGCTGCAACACATCTTTCCAATACATTCTTTTGGGTCTCAATGGTACCACATTTGCTTCTTCGATTTCAATTTTGGGCGATTTTGAGTTCACAATTTAGGGATTTTGATTTCAAGGGTTCAAAGGAAGCAAGCGTGTTCCAGATAGGCGGACAAATTAACGGACAAAATATATCAAATCAACTTTCCGTTGTATATGTCGTGATTTCCATTAATTGTAGGTAATGAATTTGAAAGGAGTGATGGATGAGTAAACCTTTGGAAAATGAGTGAGCAACGATTCACTTTTTTTAATTGGATGAGCAAGAGGTAACCCAAGGTAAATGATGATGAACAATGATTTAATTATCTCTGCCAAATAATAATTGCGAGCATATTGCCAGTTTATTTGCCCAAAACCATCACTCTATGAAGAAAACGACATAAAAATGCCGAATAGGAGCATCTCTTTTATTTGCCCGCATAAACAATATTTGATCAATATGTGCTTATAGACGAGTAGAGATATTTCGTACAAATATTTGCAATTTCATTTGTTTTTTTTAATAATAAAGTAATACCTTAAAACACTTTATGCATAAAAAAAAAAAAAAAAAAAAAACCCTAAGATTTATTGAAGAATTTGGCAGTAAATTATTACTTTTTAATGAAATATATATTACGTATGCATACTTTAAATATTAACAAATGCTTATTTTGTGTTGATTTAGATTTATAATACTTTGTTATTTATGTCTTAGTAGTTTTAGGGCCCGTTCGGTATGGATTAAAATCATATTAAAATTGAAAAAATAGCCGTTATTGTTGACTTTTATTAGACGAGTGGGACCCAAAAACGGTCATATTTTCAATTTTAATTGGATTTTAATTCTTACCGAACGGGGCATTAATATATCTATATTTTAATCAACATCATTGACAATAAAATAAGAGTTATTTACATTACTAGCAACTTTTTATTTAAATATAAATATAAATTTAATATTTTCACCTAAATATGTTGGGAAGCAAAAAGTATTTGAAGCATAGTCAAACATGTTGTCATTGTTTAGAGAGGTTCAACAAATCCGCCAACTCCGAATAATTCAGCCACGTTTGAAGATTTTTTTTTAACAAAATCTCATTAATCTACGGTGACAAATCAATAAAAAATGCAAAATCTGAACCTGTTTTGTCAGAATTTAGTTTCCCTTTATTTGACCGTTGACCGTGATTCCTTTTCTGAGTCTACTCTCTTCAGTTCACGTTAATTTTACCACAATAATTCGAGGGCATAAATGTAAATTGATGGAAATTATTTGTGGAACTCTCTTTAAAATAATCAAATATTTGGATTGTGGTTGTCAAAAACAATAATTTAATACGTAGGGCAACGAAAAATGAAAATGAGATTGAAAATACAAAAATGCTTAATGTACAATAATTTTGACAACCCTCTCCCATGGATGGGGCTCACGATTATTTTAATCGTGGACCCCACCAAATGTATGTGAGAGAACTATCAAAATTAATGTAACTCTAGCATTGTTCTTGAAAATAATGAGGCCAAACAAGACCTATCCTCTCATTTGAGTATGAAAATTTTTCTATTTTCTCGTTTTACATTGCATGGAATCATTCAAAGTCCATCCTCTCATTTGAGTTTTTATGCTATGAATGGTTCATCTAAATAATACGTTATCAAAATCGGGAATCAGTTCCATATAAAAATCGATTAACCTTTAAAACCCGCATTTTAATAAACCATCTTTCGAGAACTAGCGAACCAGCTGGTTCGACCAGAACCCAACGAACCTTCTTTATTCGTGATCGCTTAATCTATTTTGAGTAGGCCAATTTTTAAAATACTGTGAAATATACATTTTAACTACTGCACAAAAAGATATAAACAAGATTGTGAAAGGTGACGAACCGGCCTCAGATGTTGACTAAAAAATACATTAACATTTTGTCTTACCTCAGTTAATGTAATTTTAAAGGTGGGTTTGTAATTCTCATCGTTGACAGTCTCAATCTGTAGGTGTTTGTGAATTGTGATGGAGGCCAAGTGTTCATCTGATAGTGCTGGAAAACCCATAAGATGCAGAGGTTTATTAATTAATTGGCATTAAAAGTATGTTCATATCAGTTGATATTAACATGACCAAATGTTGATGTCGTTCATGATGCAGCTGCAGTAGCTCGAAAAGCAGGAGAGGCGCTGGTTATTGAAGAGATAGAGGTGTCGCCACCAAAGGCTGGGGAGGTTAGGATTAAGATTATCTGCACATCCCTTTGCCATTCTGATGTTACCTTGTGGAAACTAAGTGCTGTAAGTACTCGTAAACATATTTTAACTAGATTAGTACTGATAGTTATGTCGGGATTTCTTGATTTAAGACCATGTCTCACAGAAATTGAACTTGTAAAATTTTATGTTCAAGAAGTACAATTGGATTTGTTTGTTTTATGTAGAGTAGAAATTTGTTTCTTTAGCCCCACGTCAGAAGTCTTTATTGTCCTATATATTGTTCAGTTGTGGAGCATAATTATTATCGCTTTGATGAATTCGTAAGGATCGATTTCCGTGATGAGGCCACTGTGGGTTGGAAGGGCGGCAAGAAACCCCCATCTTGAAGGTCCGCCCTCATACCGAAATTTCATTAAGGATAATTTAAGAATTTCACACTTTTAATTTCGGTTTTCCTCAAATTTGTTAAATAGAGAGTTATTAGGTTTTTGTATATCATCAAAAAGAGATAGGTTAGAAAAGATAGGGCGTGTGAATTTTCTCCTTTAAACTTCTTTCATCATAATGAATTACCGAAGAGGTGAACGAGGACTTAGTTTCACATTAGGCAATCTTTTATAAATCTTGTAAGTCTATTTCCTTACTGCGATTTTATTCCTCTTAGCAGTATAGAATTAAAGTCTCTAATTCTCAACATGTATAAGAGCCCTTCTGTACTTTGAATCACTCTTAATCCGTGCGATAATGGAGGTCTATTCGAGCCGATTTTTGTAATACCATCTACTATAAATAGTTTTTTATGGATTTCTATTTGAGTGCTTTGTACCGTTTTCGTATATTCCCCTTTATGTATTTGAGTTGTGAGGGATTTAGGAGTACCTCGTACTCTTTTGTATTCTCTCCTTTTGTTTAGTGAAGTCAGTCGTTGTGGTCCTAGTGCCAAACATTAAATTTCTAATGTTCTGTCTCGCTTTTACATACAGTCTGATGATTCTTCTCCAAAAATCTAATTCTCAGGGACCAGGAGCAGTGTTTCCAAGGATATTTGGCCATGAAGCAGCTGGGTAATTACTAATAAATTTATATACTAGCTACTTTTTATAACTTTAAGATTCATTAATTAATTGGTGTAACAATTAATGTATTAATTAGTATTGTGGAGAGTGTGGGGGAAGAGGTGGAGGAAGTAAAAACTGGAGACATAGTGATACCAGTATTCCAAAGCAACTGTGGGGAATGCAGAGATTGCAAATCACAAAAGAGTAATGCTTGTACAAAGTTCCCTCTTCAGTTATCCAGTGGAATGCCTAGGGATGGAACCACCAGATTTATGGACTCAAATGGACAGCCAATATATCATTTTTTCAGTGTCTCTAGTTTTTCCGAATACACTGTCGTTGATATCTCAAATGTCGTTAAGATCGACCCTGACTTTCCCATCGACAAAGCCTGCCTGTTAAGTTGTGGGGTAACTACTGGTGCGTCCTTCAATCCTTGTATATGAAAATTCTTTTTCAAATAAAAGACATGCGTTAACATGTACGTTTTTACAGGTCTTGGTGCAGTAGAGAAGATTGCACAGGTCGAAGAGGGTTCTACCGTAGCAATTTTTGGACTCGGAGCTGTAGGACTTGCGGTAGTTCTTTCATTTAAGCTTGATTTAGATTCTTATCATCATCAATCAGTTTAGATATTTGATGTCTATGAACTAAAAAAGCTATACTCGGCCCCAACTCGATTTGAAGGTTGCAGAAGGAGCAAGATTGCAGGGAGCTTCAAAAATTATAGGGGTTGATCTTAATCCAGCTAAATTTGAAATAGGTTTGGGCATCTAACATTACAATTTATGCACAAGGAAGAAGAATTCTGAATAAGAATATTAATTGTTGATTGATCATTCGTGCCAGGGAAAAAATTTGGAATAACAGATTTTATTAATCCTAGCACCAGTGGAGAGAAGTCTGTCAGCCAGGTTCATCATCTTCTATTCTATCATCCTTGTGTAGTTTAAAATTTCTGATGAACCAAATATCTGTGCAGATTATAAAGGAAATGACAGATGGTGGTGCTGACTATTGCTTTGAGTGTGTAGGATTAGCCTCAGTTATGCAAGATGCCTTTAATAGTTCTCGTCTGGTCTAATCTCGTCTCTCTTAGTTTCTCACTCTCTCGTTCTATGCTATTATCTTTAAGTTAACCGTATGAGCATGTTTGAGTGAGCTTAATATGGGTACGTACTTGATGTAGAGTTGTGGAAAGACCGTACTGGTTGGGATGGAGATGCATGGAACGCCATTAAGCATTAACTCGTACGATATCCTAAAGGGGAGAAGTTTAATAGGGTGCATTTTTGGAGGATTTAAACCCAAATCCGACCTTCCAATCCTTGCTGATAAATATTTACAGAAGGTAGATTAATTTCGAGCAAGTTGTGTTGCTAACTGGTAATATATTCTTGGCTCATCTCTTGCTTTCATTTGGTTTCTACTCTTCAGATGCTTCAATTGGACAAGTTTATATCTCATGAAGTCAAATTGGAGGATATTAACGAAGCATTTGAGCTGCTACACCAAGGGAAGAGCCTCAGATGTATCATATGGATGCATAAATAGACATGTCATCTAATTTTCCTCTAAAAAAGAAGAAAGAAACAATCAAATCTACTTCTAGATGAACTCATCCTTGAAGTTCGTTAATTTCATGTATCAACTATTAATCAACTCAAAGGCTTTTGAGCTTGACGTTGGCAGGGAATGCCTTGCAATGACTTGAACCGAACCCAACCTATATTGGGTTTCAAGTCATGTGTTGACGTTTTCCTTGAGACAAATATTTGTCCCTTGTAGAATGAGTGCACAAGGGACTTAAACCTGCCTATATGATAAAATTGAATAAAGTAATATGTTATCGACGTTTTTGCATTTAACGACGATAAATCTAACACAATATATTCATAGCTGCTATGTGTTTACTACAAAATCATTCTTATCCATGTAATTATTACACGTCTATCGAACAATTGCGTATAACAACGCCGTAAATTTTCCAAAATTTTGACGCCAGGAGCAAGTTGTACAAGGTAGGAGGAATTGGCAAAAGAAATTGTGCAATGATAGAGTGATTTGAACTGATCAAGAGTAGCCGGCCGCGTAATCATTTAGAATCCCCCAAATTGTTTCCTCAACGAATAAAGCTGAGTGTACATCTTGATATACACTCAATTTGACAGCCACTCATATGGGGGGTGGAGCCCGCAAATTTTAAAATTGTGAGCCCCACCCTCCGTGTGAGGGGGGCTGCCCCTCAACTTCTTCGCATGATTTTGCCATACTTGATTCTTTCCATAGGTTGAAAAGGGAAAATTCATTTGTATACTTTTGTGTAAATTAACTTTGACACTCCTCTCACAAAAGAGTATAAGACCCATGATTTTTTAAATTGCGGGCCCCCCTCCACATTTGTGAGAGGAATGTCATGCATGATGTACACCAAAGAATGTACATCAAGCATGACTCGGCTGAAAATAGCTCCCGAAATACTTTCATCATGATTCATGCAGAATACAGTAGCTTTTGTCCACTGCTGCTCCTATAGCAGTCCACATAACCATCTTCTGCCGGCAAAGGATAAGTACTACCTCCTGACTGAGAAAGAATCTGAGAAGCATTGTCGGGTAGATATTGTCATCCATCACATCCGAGCGTATCCAGGTGCAAGATCTGCAAACTCATTCTTAATACCAGAAAGAATATTAGGTATCACCACATGTACATCAATTGACAAAATTTCCAAGTATCTACAAGAGAAAATGTTGTATCATCCTCAGCTTCATCATCTAGAATTTAAATTTTTTTGGTTAATTCAATATATCTTTAATTGATTGATTGGATTAGTAGAACATAATTAAAAAATTAGTTTTTCAAATGTATGCATTGAATCATAAATGCACTCTATAAATTAATAAATTATTAACTTGTGGATAGATTAATACCTCTTTTAATTAATAAATTTGTATGGTCCCAAACTTATTAACTCTATAAATTAAAATCTCTATTATGTAATAAAATTTCTGATTTCCTTGCCGGCCAATTATCAGCCAAGCCACAGATCAAAACCTGGAAAAGAATTAGCAGAAATATGGGAATAAAACAAACCATCTCCATAAATAGTCAAGCAAATGAAAGATCAGAGTGAGGATTGGGAAAAAAAAATTGTGGGGGTGCTTCCTTGTTGTTTTACTCTTCTTTATTGTCATACAAGGATACAGCCCTAATTGGAAATAGGATTGTATGAAAATAAGAAATATTTATGAAATGTACGCATAGAATATAAACTTCTCTGTCTTAATTTATTAGTTCTAAATTAATTTTTCACTCTGTCTCTTTAACTTCTCTCAAGCCTTTATGTCTGGTATAGATTTTCAACGGATTTAAATCAAGAAAATGATCGTTGTTTTCAAATTCTAGGCTCACCCGTGACACAGCCAGTCAACAATGGCTGCTAGTCTTCCTCTTTAACGGTACAAAAATCCATTTTTTGGGTTCAATAATTGCTCCCAGACATGCTCGATCTCATTCTTTCCTCAAGATTTGGATTTATCGTTTTTACCAAATAATCCATTTTTCTACTCAGCTTGTCTCTATCGGTGTAAACGACCGACCACGTTTTTTCTCCGTCTCAACACCATGCGCCTCAAGACCACACGATTTGAATCATTATCGTTTTTTTTTCAACCCAATTACTTTTAAAATTTGTAAAAAAAAAAATAAAAATAAATTAAAGTTATGAAGCCAACGGTTGACTAATTTTTTGTCACGGACATAGGGTTCTTATACCTTTGTCAATTTTACTCCAACAATGCTGAATGTACACAAATTTTGTGCCAGAAGTTGTACAGAATAGTCACATGGATGTCGTCCCACCTGATTTAAATATAATTTTAAAAAGTGGACACCACATATTTGTTTCTTCCCCCTTTTTTTTTTGTTTCAGTATGGCAAGGAAGGTTCATTTTACTCAGGTGGGAAGGTATATGCTTGGGTCTTGCATTATTGAGCATTTCAACCAATTTATTTGATAGAAAATTGAGTTCACGCTTCTGCTCGATAAAAATAATTTCTTATTCCATAATTTCTCAATATTATTCAGTCTTCTATTAATTTTCTATCTATATGTATGTTTTGAATATGTTTATCCATTATTATAAAATCAATATATAATTTCAGTAATTGCATTTTTGTTGAAGATATTTGTTCCAATTTCAAGTTCTTCTTTGATCTCACTTTCAAGATGAGCAATGATTTGCCCTAATTTGGTGATTTTGAATTTTATAAAATATTGAAATTCATTGTTGGATTTTTATTTTGTGGAATTGGTTATTTTCTATTGTGATCTAATGGAATATTGAAAATTTTCCATTTGTCTATTTAAGTTGATTTTGTTCTTATGGTTGGAATTATTATTTGGAGTAAATTGGCATTCATTTATTTGCTGAGTTTCATGTCAAACAATTATAAAAAAAATAATTTAAAACAAAATCTCTATATTTGAATGATTAAACAAGCATTTAACGAGTGAATTGTTTCAAAAATCACTGAACTTATACTATCGTCACGGACTGCTCACCGTACTTCATTCTGCTTTACAGTACTCACTCAACTTTGACATTTACTTCTCCATTCACCACTGTCAAAAAATCCGTTTGTTAGGCGTTGACGTAGTGGACGGAATTTCTAGGTGGTGTCTGACGACCGTTAAAAAATTACAAATCAGCAAAATTATTGTTTCATCACTCATCCAACTTACTCTAGGTCTAAGTTTACTCATCGAGCTTCAAAATGCTTACCAATGGTCATTCATCTTTAAGAATTGCACTCCATCCATTATTCGTCATATTTTGTTTACTTCGTTGCTAATTTATTGTCCGAAAATTTCACGGGTAATTAAAATTATCAAAAAAATTATAACTCGACCAGACCATCAACACATAGAAATCACCATATGATCAATTGAATACAATTAGAAGTAAAATCGGTGAAATATAGACAAAACATTTTCACAAATCAAGTTAAGTTTCCGATTTTCAGCTTTAGATTGAAACCTATTTTTCATACAATAAACGTTCGAATTATAAAAGTGATATTTATAAAGAATAATTGAGGACGCTTTATTGGGTTTTAAAAAAGTTTATGAGGTCATGGAAGTCATGTTTCACACAAGTAAATTGATAGTTTCATTGAGTAGTGATTTTTCTAACATTTGTAACTTATTATGTGGATTTTTTATGCGAACATTAGCAACGAAATGAACGAAATGTGACACATAATGGATGTAGTGCAATATCTCAAAGATGAGTGACCATTAGAATGCATTTTGAATTTCGATGAGTAAACTTAAACCTAGAGTAAGTTAGATGAGTGATGAAACAATATTTTTGCTGATTTGTAATTTTTTAACGGCCGTCGGACGTCACCTAAGAATTCCGTCTGCCATGTCAGCATCCAACAAACGGATTTGTTGACAGTGGTGGATGGAGAGGTAAATGACAAAGTTGAGTGAGTATCGTGAAGCATAATGAAGTTCAATGAAAAGTCCGTGACCATAGTATAAGTTCAGTGATTTTTGAAATAATTCACTCGCATTTAACAGAAAAAGATGTTCGAAAAAATATTTATTACTTAATTTTTGACTCTATAATAAAGAATGCTTGACTTCATCACCGTGTTCCGACATATGGAGCATGTTTGTTTCCAATTAAAATTCAATTAAAATTGAAAATATGACTGTTATTGGGTCTCACTCGATTAATAAAAACCAACAATAACGGCTAGTCTTTCAATTTTAATTTCTACCGAACACGCTCATGATATTAATTTTTCTTGTACCTTATCAATTTTTCATTAAATTTTGTTAAAATTTTAATTTTTATCCAAACCAAACATGGGCTAAATATTATGATTTATTAACTGTTTTTAAAAATTAAAGTTGCCTCAATATCCTAAGATTTCTCAAACATTTTTTAAATTATTTTTCTCCAAAATAATTTTCAGTCACGGACCCACAATTTTTTCACACTTTTTAAGTACACATTATTAAAATCAAATATTTTTTCTTGAAAAAGACTGCTAAACCAGCTTTAAATATTCCTTTGATTTGCAACTAGTTTTTCACCCTTACGATGCACGGTGCGATGCATAAATTTATATTAACTGATAAACAATTCTAATATGAGCAACATATGCTAATTAATTTTCCAATCCAATTAGATACAAAATACTTCATAAAATTAACTTGCGAGTGAATGTGTAATTTTAAATAAAAATATATACACCACATAACTAGTTCAAATTTTGAAAAACTTCTTTGAAAAGAGCATTTGTTGTTGAATTGGATGGTACTCCATCTCGATCGCAACAAAAAAATTGAGTATAAATGTCGAAATAATAAACATAAA